GGTGGTTGAATGGCTTCCAAGCGTTTGCAAAAGGTTGACCGAGACAGTACTGAATATGAAGCTGTTATACTTCAGTGCTGATCGGATGAAACCGATATAGTGTGGTAAGCACCGTTCGGTCTGCACCCCAGGTACGACCAGCAGGCACCTGAGGACGTTAAGAGCCGTTTAAGCTTTTGACATGCTCTATGAAGTGCTTGCAAGTTTTAAGCTTTGACATGCTCTATGTGTGTGCTTGGAAGTTTTAAGCTTTTGACATGCTCTATGTGTGCTTGGAGAAACGGTAAGTGGCGGCAAGGGACCTCGTTTGAAAATGAGCATAGCGGACTTTGGAGCGGAGAGAAAGAATACCCATTCTGAGCACCAATTTACACAATAATAGATTATTTTTTGGTAAAGCTGAGGAAGACTTTGACAGTCTCTCTGTGAGCTCCATATAGCAAGATTGTCAGCAAACAGCGAATATCGGACACATTCTAGTGTGATGTGGAGTGTGAGAAAAAACATTGGTGGTAATGTTTGCAAATATTTTAAAGGTTATGTCATAACTTGCAACCGCATTTGAGCACAACGAAACGCTGTCAAGAGCCCCTTCCCTTGCAACGCTTCGGTTACGCTCCATCATCTCCCTTCCCCCTTCATTCGTAGCATAATTTATGAACAGCCCCGCGGCAGTACTGCGCGCAAATGCACCGAAAGTGCTTGGTTCGCGTGTTCACGCAAGATGGCGTTAGCTCCCAAGGTAGCCGTTTCGATCGACGTCACAGGCGAGGCCGCCCTAATGCGACATGCCGTTGGTAGTAGGAACCTGGGGTATGAGTGCTCCGCTATCGACGAGTTTAACGGATTGGTAGGGCACAGCCCTGCGGGTCTGGTTGAAGAACTGACATTTCCACTGTGATTCGATATCAGCCTTGGGACTGAATAGGACCCGGCAAAATTGGTCTCCCCGTCTCACTAACGTTGAACGCGCAGTCACGCTCTGTTCCTGGACAAGGTCTCAGTCAACGATGTTCGTTGTGTGACCATTTCACACGTCACATGACCAATTGCTGAGCAGGAGCAATCGGCTCACACAGCGCTGACAAAACGTCGCAAGCGCCGATTACTCGTCTTTTCGCCAAGCAAACCTTTTCGAATGATGCTCGGTGATCAGACGAGGCAGGATAGTTGGATTTGCAGCGGTAGCGCAGAGGCTGGAGGCTCAGCCCCAAAGTGCACTATGATACATGGAGACGTTCGAAGGGCATCCCCCCTCCCAACAAAACTTGGAATTGATTGCACCAGCCGACCACCAGAAGGACGAATAATGCGGCCTGGGACGATCTAGACGGCACCAGACGTGAATGATGGCATTTGCCATCATATAAATGATGAAAAACAAGGTAATGCAGTCAAAGACATTTCGTAAGTTGTAAGTTGTACCATCGGGTGTGATCAAAGCGTTAAAATGTTTGCCTTCCACGAGAAGTTGTCAGGCTGTTTGGTGGTGTCATCAAACAGCCTGACAACGTGAAAATGTCGCCATTTATAATTAAGCGTGCAATAGTGGTCTTTGCACGCTTAAATGCGAACTGTTGTCGTATTTCACAACGCACATTGCTAAAAATTGGTGTGTTAACCGGCTCACAGCAGCCGCAAAGCTCGGCTAAGCCGACCAAATTGTTGCGCAGAAATGTAAATATTTTGTTAACTATCGCAATGAGCTGAACTGCACGGCTGCGGGGATGTACTTATCCGAGCTCTCGGTCCAGAGTATGCATCATATTCGAAGCCGGGTTTCGGAAAAGCTGCATGGCCGCTTCCAGGTCGACTTCTGGGGCGCGTATTGATCGGACGGCGTTAAAATCAGTGGATTTGTGAACGGTATATTCGCTTACATCACGCAGATCATGTCAAGTCCGACTTTTCTGTTTGCCTAGATACGACCGACTGTGTAATATGACCATGACTGCACATTCCTCACCCCATCCCACCCCCTGAAAAACTAAAAATACGAGCGGATCCACGTCTCGCGCTTAATACCACGCAACAAGCTGTACACATCGATCCAACTTGGCCAATGTCATCGTTCGCTCCCTGATACGTCAAACCGTGCTTGGCTTGTGCTTCTGTGGCGCCGGGCCGTTGAGATCTGAAGCCGGTTTCAACACGTTTTGCCCAGCTTTTTGGCAGCCATCATATCAACAAAGATGCTTACTTTTTGAAATCGTGGCGGACTGGCCGGGTCGGACGGTCCGATGCGGACTTTGCTCTCGGTTCCAACTAATTTCTCCAGCCGTGGCTTCACTCGTTACAAACAAGTGCGGAGGACTGTCCAACGTCCATCGCTCGTGTGACGTCAACAACACCGTCGCCATGCAAACGTTTATTGTAATAAAACCCCGACACACGTCCCTTGAGAAGCGTTGCTGAGCTCTGTTGGTTTCCAACAAACACCCAAATCCGTTAACACGCGAATCCAACAGTAAAACACGAGCAGGGCAGTCTGCGACGGCAGTATGCCCTATCATATTGCAAGGGAGGAAAGGGCACAGCAAAGTGGCCATCTCGCTTTACCGCGTGGGGCGGTCAGCTGCGATCTTAAGCATCGGGCACTATCACAACAACATCCCGCCTGTAGTTTAAGGCTGTGGCGCAGCCACAGAACCGTGGCGACATTAGCATAAAGCTATGGCTACGGGGACACGCACTCGCCTGTCAGTCATCGCGTCTCACAAATTAAGAAACGTTAATCTATTCACAACTCACCAACCGACCCAGTGTGAGATGGCATGTGGTGAAATCAGACGCGCCACTCAACTGCACTTGAACTGAGACGACCGCGTCTGCGGGATGAGTGAATGCGGTAGTAGAACACTGGGTAACTTCGTCACACTTGCACACACACACGCAAAGCCGCGCAATCCACCCCGCCATTCCCCATTTGGAATGCCTCAAGAACAGTCGACATCACGGGCACCCTCTTCTTCCGGAGCGTCCGTCACAGCCCGTCACAGCGCGTATCGGAGGTACGCGCGGACGCCGGCGGGCAGCGGGAGCTTCTCGACGTCCTCGCCAGGTGTCAGCATGCGGATGGCGCGCCGCGCGGAGTGCATCAGGGACGGAATATGCTTTGGCACGGTTAGGAACGTCACGCTACCGTGGCTGGTCCTGCGGGTGTGAGGGCGCGTCGTCAGCCGCCAGGCTCCTCACAACTTCGTCCATTAACCATACACAACTGTATCCGTACATGACGCTAAAAGATCCGACGGCACCTGATCACGCCATCGGTGACAAAAATAGCTAAAGGGATTGCGGTTAGAGATTGTTTTAAGTTCAGCACTTCAAAAGTACACGGCATCTCTTCCTTCACATGAGACCTGTTTTCGCCAACGGTAAGTTTTTTTTACGCGGCAATATATCTGCTCGATTTAGCTTTAAAAGGGCCCCAATTGAAGGCTAGTGCCACTAACTCCTGGCCTTTCGGTGCTGCTTCAGGTTCACTATCTTTCCTCCGCCCGAGAAAGCTTCGTTAAAACTTAAAAAGTGTTTGGCCAGCCCTCTGACCTCTTCGCGCTAGACCCTAAGCTCATACTCAGCATGCGACAGGTTTACACGCATTGCAAGAGCGATCCATGGCAAAAACGCGAAGTAACCCGTTGCAAGAAACCAGTTTGTGAGTCTATCAAGGGAGCTGTATTCCTCTAAAACGTGACAGCCGTGTGGGTGACAAAACATCTTTGTGAACGCCGGCATACCCAGGCCGATGAGCGGAACCACTCCGCGCCTGGAAAACCACAGGTACGGGGTGTCATTCCCCGCGGTGCCCGCCCTTCCTGCCAGGGTTGGAGGCAGGCAACGCCAAAAATCCTCAGCAGCTGAGTGCGTTGTAAAGCCCCTGTGGCACACAGGCCGGTGAACGGGCACGGCGCAACGTCCCCTTCGGCGCACATCCCCCCCCCCTGCCAGCTCACCCCACAGCCAGGACGCTGCCTGCGGCGTTGAAAGTGCACGAGGTCAGCATTTCGTCCTCCTTGATGCGGGGCACCAGCACGGACAGGGCCGGCTCCGACGACTCCTGCCACACGTTCCAGAACCGAACGAACCTGGCCGGGGCAAATGGAGTCAGGTGCGGACATCGGCAGCCTGCTGAGCGGATCGCCGCGGACTGGGCTGCCACTGATGTTTACGTGATGAGAAAGGAGGAAACGGCCGGTGGGAGACGGGGCTGGCGTGACGTCATACGATTCGCCGTTCTCAGAGCAACACCAGACCGTGACAAAACGAAGGCGAGGTAAAACACGACAGCAGAAATATTCAAAACGCATACGCATCACACGTGTGCAGAAAAATTAACACCATGCTTTTCGCGTGACTGGTAAACGAAATCAAAGCATGTCTAAAGGCCTCCTGGGGAGCGTGTAATGAATGCCACAGTATCCAGGGCCTATCCAGCTGTATAAAAGACGCGCTGCATGCCCACATTTCTTCGCCTTAGTTTAAAATCGCCGACGCTGGCGCACGACCAAGAACAGCTTGGTTGTAAAGCAGGATAATACGGCGAATATACCCGGCTGACCAGCGCGGCCCAAGGTGTACTGGTACTTTTGACCACAGCGATCTGGCCCCGACAGAAGCCGCGACCCAGCTGCACTCACCCGTCCTCGAGCGATCTGGCCCCGACAGAAGCCGCGACCCAACTGCACTCACCCGTCCTCGAGCGATCTGGCCCTGACAGAAGCCGCGACCCAGCCGCACTTACCCGTCCTCGAGCGATCTGACCCCGACAGAAGCCGCGATCCAGCCGCACTCACCCGTCCTCGAGCGATCTGGCCCCGACAGAAGCCGCGACCCCGCCGCACTCACCCGTCCTCGAGCGATCTGGCCCCGACAGAGGCCGCGACCCCGCCGCACCCACCCGTCCTCGAGCGATCTGGCCCCGGCAGAAGCCGCGACCCAGCCGCACTCACCCGTCCTCGAGCGATCTGACCCCAACAGAAGCCGCGACCCCGCCGCACTCACCCGTCCTCGCACACCGTCGCCGTCTGGCACATGGACTTGGACATGACGGCCGCCCTGACCCAGGCGCCGTTCTCGCCCGAGGCGAAGATGAGGCGGGGCGGCGGGTTCAGGTGCAGCAGGGTCTGCAGCTGCGCCCCTGTGAACACGACGCCGCTTGAGCCACGTGACAATCCCGCACTGGCGTTGTTCAACGGACGCAACGGATGCATTTTTATGTTGGTAGCTTTGTTTCGGCGTCGATATAAGTAGCAGGCAGCACCACCCGCTAATAGAAGATTTGCAGGATCAAGCGCATATTGGATTAATATTGATATATAATATTCAACAGACATTCGAAATTGCAATAACATTTAGTAAATAGCTATTTCACATCTATGATTCCGGAAGAATGGAGCTCCATGCCCATTTTTCATTTGCAAACGCCCACTACATTTCTACTCATAACTGAAAAGTTAAGTGTGGGCCAAAGGCCCTCGGAGCTGCATCACCCCGATAGCAGTGCGGCGGTGGCGCCACTTTACAGAGAAAACACGAGGAACTGAGTTGCTGCATTACCATCGTTTCCGCTTGCCAGGGTCTAATCCACTGGTCGCTGGTCTGAAATAAAACTTGTACGAATATGGCGGCACGTGGTTGGCTCCCAATGAGCCAGCGTACAATCCAAAACTGAACCAGTAGCCGAAGCACGTGCAACACATCCCCGTAAATGAAAAAGGGGCATAGTCCTAATCAATAATCGTTCGTATATACTCCTGCAGCCACAGGTACAGTCTTAGTTCATTGAAACCAATGTGTAACGGTAACGAAAACGGATCTATTGCGTGCTACGGGCTGATCCAATTGCGTGGAACAGTCTGATGATGCGAACTATACTTCCCCTAGTGGAGGCGTAATTGGAAACACATTTTGCGAGAGGCCTTCATAGAGAGCATCAGTCCAAAATCCTGCCCTGTGATAGCGATCTCCGCTACGTCAACGGATGTTGCCCGGCACGGCAGCTGAGAATTAGGTCCTCTTACAAATTTGAACAACTGAGGTGGCGTATTGCACAGCCATCTTCCCAGCCCACGCAGACCGTGTAACGGAATCAAAGACCACAAACAATAAATAGACTGGCTGAGGGACCCAAGTGCGCTTGAGGCGCGTGGTGCGTACATAAGCGCGGAGTCGTGTGTGGTTCCCACATATATAGGGACGCGCATACCGTGCGGAAAATTGCGCGCAAACCTTTCCGCTTCCAGAACTATGTACGACTTGCGTGCTAGTTTTCGCACTAAAAGAGGCATAGGCGCACTTGGGACCCTCAACCCGTAGCATCATATAACGCCTTTAGCTAATGATATTGCGGCTCTAACGCTCCAACTGTGAGCAGGCATACTGCCCTCAAGCGGGCGAAAGTAGAAACACACCTGTCTCGGCGTCCCAAACGATGGCGCGCGTGTCGAGCGAGCCGGAAATGATCAGCCTGCCATCGGAACTGAAGGAGCACGAAGTGGCGTCGTGGACGTGGCCCTCCAGTACCAAGTGACGCTTGTATGTCACCATATTGTATACGTAAAGCTGAAATGTAGAAAATGTGGTGTGAGGCGTCGTTTTAGGCAAAATGTGGTGTGGTGCGTCGTTTTAGGCAAAGTTGGAGCATCACGGGGACGACAAGGATGAACGGTGGGACAGCCCTATATGACTGTATCCAACCATACACAATGGCTTAACCAGATATGACTTGACCCAACAATCTATGACACCTGGTACACATATGCCTCGTCCGATTCACAACGCAGTTCCTGACAATAATGTACAGATAAGGCCCATACCAAGGCAATCTTCTTCAATGGGATGGAAAGGTGAGGAGGTGTGACGTACCATAACTACTCAGAGCCCCTATCTGATCGTTACTTGATATTGAGGGGCTTATTGCAACACGCGATAATACAGTCGTATTTCAGTGTCGATTCATTTGAGTAGACTCACTTGAGATGTGCAGTAAAGAGGCAGTAAAGGCACCGTGCGACCGTCTCAAAATACTACGGGTATGGACCTCTTCCAAATGGGCAACACTGTGCTCGCAAAGTTTGCAATGCCGACTGCGACTGTGCACCCCATCCATATCCGAAGACAGATCGCAGCAAGCGCTGATGTTTAGCACCATTTGGGTTCCATCAGCGTGTTGATTGCAGCGGTCATTCCCCACCATCCAACAACCGGTTATATTTCCACCCAACGATTTTGCACAGAGAACGTCTGTTCATCCCTCGCGCGGCACTCCCCAGCCGGTGGATCCCCTAGCAGCCGTACGCCCCCCGCACACAGAACGTCTGTTCCTCCCTCGCGCGGCACTCCCCAGCCGTTGCTTCCCCTGGCAGCCGTGCGCCGCCCGTGCAGAGAACGTCTGTTCCTCCCTCGCGCGGCACTCCCCAGCCGCTGGTTCCCCTGGCAGCCGTGCGCCGCCCGTGCAGAGAACGTCTGTTCCTCCCTTGCGGGGCACTCTCGAGTAGGCTGGTTCCCTCCGGCAGCCGTGCGCCGCCCGTGCCGGCAGCGGCCGGGTCCGACTCCGCCCGTCCAGCGGCCTGGGCGCGCGCGCTCGGCAGTTACCAGCTTGCTCTGGCCGCAGGCGACCAGCTGGCGACCGTCGGGGCTCCAGGAGCAGCGCAGCAGCGGTACGCGGCACTCGGACAGCGTCTTGTACATGTTGCCGTCGTCGGTGAGGTCCCAGGCCTGCCAGCAGGCAGGAGCGTCAGCCCACCGCCCGGGCGGGGCCGTGGCGCGACGGAGCAGACGGGGTCACAGCGGGGTCACATCGGGGTCGCACGTGCGGAGCGTGCGGAGGAGGGCTAACGACGGGAAGCCCTCTGGAGTGGGGTCTCCAAACAGGGAGCGTTGGGACTGCAGAAACTGGATCACGAGAGTACGGGTGGCGCATGATGATACAAATAAAAGAAGCGCGCATCGCACACGTGGGCCGTAAGATACTAACGAGGACATAAAGAGCAAGAATTCTAAACGCAAAGAACACTGTTAAGGAGCACACACACATCTGAAGCTGTATATCATGGATGGGAAAGAACGAAATGGCAAGACAGCACACGCACGACACAAATTAAAAGGCATCGCAATTCACAATCAACGCCAAGCGTCCGCTCCACTAGGAGAACATAGACACAGTTCACGAGTACACGAGCATACTTTTAAGATAACTTTATTGGTGTACGTCCTTGATAGGACACGGGTAGACCAGTAACATGCCTTGTCCGATGTCGGACAAGCGATGTGACGCCACAGATGAGTGTTGTTACGCTAGGTGACACCAGACCTAAGCGAATGATTCCAGACGCCTTTGGAGTCCATAAACAAGGCACAACAAAGGGCTTATCGGCCATGCCGTCCGCCCTGTCAGAGCTAAACACGCCATAAGGTTCATGAACTCACTGGAAAATCAAAAACAGTGAGCCACGAGTGCGGTCGTTCAGCCCAAGAAGAACAAGCTGCGCTGAGGTTTGGCTGCGCAATAACTCAATGCGTTTAGAGGATTTTCTCCGCTGGCATATGGGCTCAACTTGAAGGTTGCAGTGTTGGCCTTCCAGGTAATTCGTAGCTGGTACATTTCTACGCGCTACGCAGTAATAAAACAAAGAACTGTTACAACACGCAGAAGAAAAACTAGCGAACAATTGTGCTACTAGTGCTGAACACGGCGAGGGGATGCAGTCAACGACGTTATCGCTTTGTACGGCGATAACCGGGAGGTCCTCCCAATTTGAAAATTCTCCCGTAGTTGGAACATGGATATGGTACATGACTACACTAAGCCCTCGGTCTCGCTCGCAATGCCTATGCTTAGGACCTCCCTGCGAGATAACGCATCTAACGCAACAGGCAGACATAAAGCCCGCAGCAGCGTCCAGGAAGGACTGCTTACGATACCACAACCGAACAAGAGTAAAGCCCTGTCCAGTACCCAAAAAACAGTGCGTCCCACCATGATAAGCAAGCGTTTATCCTCTTAATTTGCCGGGATTCTCGCTTTGATGACGACCGTCTTGCGTGACCGGGCCAGGTGCGAACGGAGCGGGTAACCCCCTCCCTCCGCCGGCACGGACACAGCTGACGCACCCCATCCCATCAGCCTGATGACTGGGCTCGCCTGAGGGGGGAGGGGGGATGATCCCTGCCGCGCCAGAGCGGCCGGTCCAGGACTGGGGTGTTGGCGGATCCCAGCCAGGAGCGGGGTGGCCGCTGATCAAAGCCAGGTCACGGTGCCTGCTGATCCGTGCCAAGAACAGGGTGCTTGCGGATCAGCTGAGTCAGGGCTGGTGTTGTTTTTCAAAACAAAGACTGGGATGTTGGCTGATCCAGCCAGATGGGACCATGGAGCCGGTACTGTGCCCATCAGCGGAGTTGGAACTGACTGGGATGTTGGCTGATCCAGCCAAATGGGACCATGGAGCGGGTACTGTGCTCATCAGCGGAGTTGGAACTGACTGGGATGTTGGCTGATCCAGCCAGATGGGACCATGGAGCGGGTACTGTGCTCATCAGCGGAGTTGGAACTGACTGGGATGTCGGCCGATCCAGCCAGCTGGAACCACGGAGCGGGTACTGTGCTCATCCGCGGAGTTGGAACTGACTGAGATGTCGGCTGATCCAGCCAGCTGGAACCACGGAGCGGGTACTGTGCTCATCAGCGGAGTTGGAACTGACTGACATGTCGGCTGATCCAGCCACCTGGGACCACGGAGCGGGTACTGTGCTCATCAGCGGAGTTGGAACTAAAGCACCTGCTGATCCGGGTCAGAACTGGCAGTCACCGACCAGACAAGAGAGCGATGAGATACCGGCCGACAAAGCGAGCCAGAACCGGGGTGTCTACCGGCCTGAGCCAGTGCTGAGGCGTCTGTCGGTCGGCCAACACAGGACTGAGACACCTGCTGGCCACAGGGGCCAGCACCAGCACCTTTGCTACAGTGCAGGTGTCGGGTCTGCCGAGACCCTCCACTGTAGCGTTCCGGTGACAGGAAAGTCTGAAGTGAAAAGGTCATCCGTCTTTAAAGTTGATTCTTTTCGTTCATCACCGCAGGGTTAGTGTTAAACTTTCACGAAAAACATACAGGCAGGTGCCCCTAGTTCCTAATTTCTCGGCCTGTGCATCGATACAGTCGAAGCTAGTCTGTCGGTCATTCCCCCCCCCCCCCCCAAGCAAAGCGTGACGATCGATCGAAATTCAGCGACGCCTCCACACGGCACGCATCAAAACCCTTCGCGGCCTGGGTGCTGACCGACTGTTATTGTAACCCACTCAGCGCCAGACGGTCCGCGTCAGGCACAGCTCTGTCCGTCGGGTACGCCTGCTCACACCGCTCTGTCCGTAGGGTACGGCTGCTCACACCGCTCTGTCCGTCGGGTACGGCTGCTCACACCGCTCTGTCCGTAGGGTACGGCTGCTCACACCGCTCTGTCCGTAGGGTACGGCTGCTCACACCGCTCTGTCCGTCGGGTATGCCTGCTCACACCGCTCTGTCCGTAGGGTACGGCTGCTCACACACCGCTCTGTCCGTAGGGTATGCCTCTCACACTGCTCTGTCCGTCGGGTACGGCTGCTCACACCGCTCTGTCCGTCGGGTACGGCTGCTCACACTGCTCTGTCCGTCGGGTACGGCTGCTCACACCGCTCTGTCCGTCGGGTACGCCTGCTCACACTGCTCTGTCTGTCGGGTACGGCTGCTCACACCGCTCTGTCCGTCGGGTACGCTGCTCACACTGCTCTGTCCGTCGGGTACGGCTGCTCACACTGCTCTGCCCGTCGGGTACGCCTGCTCACACGCTCTGTCCGTCGGGTACGGCTGCTCACACTGCTCTGCCCGTCGGGTACGGCTGCTCACAACAGCTCTGCTCGTCCGGCGGGTACGCCTGCTCACACTGCTCTGCCCGTCGGGTACGGCTGCTCACACTGCTCTCCAACCCTGCGCTCTGTCCGTCAGGTACGCCTCTGCTCACACTGCTCTGTCCCTAGGGTACGGCTGCTCACACTGCTCTGTCCGTCGGGTACGGCTGCTCACACTGCTCTGTCCGTCGGGTACGGTTGCTCACACCGCTCTGTCCGTAGGTACGGCGCTCACACTGCTCTGTCCGTAGGTACGGCTGCTCACACTGCTCGCCCGTCGGGTACGCCTGCTCACACCGCTCTGTCCGTCGGGTACGGCTGCTCACACTGCTCTGTCCGTCGGGTACGGCTGCTCACACCGCTCTGTCCGTAGGGTACGGCTGCTCACACCGCTCTGTCCGTAGGGTACGGCTGCTCACACACGCTCTGTCCGTAGGGGTACGGCTGCTCACATACCGCTATTGGTCCTCGTAGGGTACGGCTGCTCACACCGCTCTGTCCGTAGGGTACGGCTGCTCACACCGCTCTGTCCGTAGGGTACGGCTGCTCACGCCGCTCTGTTCCGTAGGGTACGGAGGGTCATTGGACTAGCTGGGCAGGTCGGGTGGGTACCGACAGGCGACAGCAACTCGGAGATGAAATTACAACAATGCCCATGATTGTTACCAACAGGACGTTGACGACGGGCGACTACTGACTCCGAATTCGGCTGGAGGAGAACATCCGCTATTTGTTACAAACTTGCATTTGTGGAGAAGGAAAGCAGGCTGCTTTGCTCCGGGCGTTAATAACACCATTGTTTCATCACTGTAATTTGCAAACACAGCCGTCTGCACCCGTCGCAGTTGTCCGTCATGACGGGCACGGGATTCCCCAGCACACGCGGAGCCGCCATTCCAAGCGCGAGCGGTACAGGGCCGAGCCCGCATGGACCGGCGTCCCGTCCGTCCGGGCCGGCCCCCGGACGCCGTCCAGCGATCTAATCTGCAGCTGTAACCGGAATAATCCGGTTTCGCGGAGCAATGGTACCCTGTTATGCGACACGTGGCTCGTCGTGGCAAGAGCGTGCCGGCTGTTCTGCGCATGAGCAGGTGACCTTGGGGGCCTCGCCTGTGCAATAATTATAGACATATAAATATATAAAAAATAAAACTCAAAATGGGCGTCTCGCCGCGATTCCACATGTAAAAATCGGCCTCTGGTCACGAATTTCATCGTTCGCTTATACCTTCTCCTCTCCTGAATCTCACCATAACGCAACACAGCGCACCTCGCCTGTCGGCCCTTCGACGTCACAGCGGCAGCAGCAGCAGCGCGACAGGCGGGGCCGCGCGGTCGAATCCGTACGTACTTTGAGCGTCTTGTCGGCAGAGGCGGACACGAGTCGCAGCGAGGCGTCGGGGGCGAAGCTCAGGCCGCGCACGGCGCCGCGGTGGTCCATCAGCTCCAGCAGCAGCGTCCCCGTCTCGATGCTCCACAGACGGATGCGGCCGTTCGGGTGGCCCGTCGCCAGCGCCTGCGTCCGGTGGAAGTCGAACCTGCGGCAGCCGATGGTGTCACGAAGCGTGCCGTGCCGTTGCGGTAAGCGTGCCGTCTCGCCGGCACACGAGGGGTTTAGCGGTGCGGGGGACATCTCATCCGCGGTCCGGGAAGCAGGGGCTTCACGTGATACCATGGCCATGGGTACATAAAGCATTCGCAACACCACCGGGAGGGCAGACGTCGGGGGGAGTGGTGCTCGCGGTTCAACCCTCCCAGCGACGGAGGCATTTCAAGACAGGCTGGCCAGATCGGGGACGCATCTTGCACACCTTGTCAAACCGAGTCGTACTCCAAAGAACAGGCGGGTAGCGATAGCACACACCATCGCTGCAGGCGACCGAACGCTAATGCGGCGCGGCCGGCTCGAGCCCGTGATGCGCGGCTCGCAACGTGGCAAGTGAGCTCTTTGTAACAACGCACGGATGCCGTGGGACTGTCGACCTCCGGGCCTGCCTTCTACGACGCTGAGGAGGCGCCTGCGCAGTCGTCTCCGGCCATTGAACGAAAGATGCGGCAGTCCGTCAGCGCAATGATAAGAGCGCTGGACGGATGACAACGGATAACATCACCACAACAGTCCCAGTACTTGAAAAGTCTGTGACATCCTGGACCAAACCAAGGCCATGATGATCGGTCCAGCTGAAGCACCGCCTCAAGCCTTTGGGGCAAGATCGGGGCGAAGCTGACATCCTCGTGATCTGCCAGTTAACAGCGGAAAATTGCGCAACGAAATGTTAGAGGACCAAACGAAAATGACGAGAGAAATCTACACCAAGGAAAGGGTGTGACTCAACGAGTTCCACACGCAAAACAAGCAGCCTATCTGCAATTAACTTTTTCAGCTTATGCGAGCTAAGGAAATCTGGACAAAGATCACAAAGCAACGGCATCCCCGTTTTCAAAAGACTCCCCGCCTAACGCTGCTGTAACTTATCAGTGTCGCGCGTGGGACATCTCAAGGACAGCGTGCGGTAGGGCACGCTAGCTCTGCAACGACGCACCCACGACCATCGCGGCCGGATGCCGCCCGACCTGCCGCCCGGCAGTTCGCCGCTGCCGCGCCAGCTGGCCGCGCCTCCCCGGCTGACGGCCGCTGCTGCGCCGCCGAACCTCACCATCCGGGTTCACATGCACTTCTGCTTGGTTTCAAATGGCAAATGGAACGAAATCCGAGCTCATCAGCGTCGGCGCGTGGCAAAATCTTCACCCATTCCTCGTTCTCCAACAGTGACACGCACTGAACTGCGTGGGACAACGAGGCGACAACAGGCGTGAGAATGGTCAGTTGTCATCAAGCAGATTGCAGATGATGCCAAAACTGAGCCGATGGAACCACACGCCTTTTGTAACATCTACCAACAGCGTGTTGTTGTTTTTTCTCCATACTCCGCCGGTGTGGTGGCACACATAAATCCAAATCTCAATTAATATCTTATTTCTTTCATTCCTTCGCCCTACCGCACTTTTCAAGAGATATTCACATACAGATATCCACTAATGCGAATTCGTTTCGAGCTTATTTATGGCGTTTATAATTTATTTGCTAGTTCACAAATAGCATCCCCTGAATATTGACTTCATACCAGAATACTGAATAATAAACATAGATTATTGACAGGCGTAAATCTGGTCAGGTATGGCGATTTCATCGGATTTATCCAACGACATCGACGAATTTGCTGCGACTTATGGCTTTGGTGGCTGCGACTAAAGCATTACAAATGACGCAAATATTTGTGTTAGATACCGGTCGCTCTCGATAGCTTTTATATTCGCACAGCTCTTGCAGCCCAGTACGCCCAGTATGCGCCTGTTCCAGTTCAGGCAACAGAGTCTTGCATTTCAGACCGGTTCTGAGAACGGCGGCGTTGGCCACTTTCCAGCCATGACACGTCAACGAGTCGGACCGGTGCGAGACCCGTCGCATCTAGCCAGTAGCATTTTTCAGTGTTTCACGTCTTATGCAGACGTGTGGCAGAGGTGCCGACCATCGGTTCTCCTCAGAGCTTGATCAGGTCACATAAGAGGCCGAGCCGCTACAAGCGATCTTACGCTACGTGGAGCGTTATAAGATCGATGAGCCATGATTTTAACTATATGTGACAACGTGCCACTGCCGTTAAACGCACCTCGACGACTTACTTAGTTAGACACAGTAGACTTTTACTTAGACACAAAATTTGCGGTTGCTTTTAATCCTTTATCGTGTCAGAATACCAACAGACACACACCTAATCATTGACATACTGCATACATTTTGTTTACGTGCAGATGATACCTGTGATACACAAGTTAAGTGATACAAGCTCACGATGTGTGTAGACTTGAGGCCAGCAATAGCCCTTATGACCTGAGCCAGTCTTTGAGTGACCTGCACATCGTCAATGAATCATAAATAAACAAATGGTCATACGATCTTATGGGGGAGCATCCTGGCCTGCGTGCCACGGCGCCGTAATTCTCGCTGCTTGCAATAAGCTATCAGTACAGTGCTGAAAACCCCGTATCGACGTGCGGCATTCCACCTGTGAAAGCCCCTGACTGATAGCACATCTGTCACAGGACGTGTATATATATATGCACAGTGGGGCCCCAGCACAACTGCGGAGCTCGAGGCTTGGAGCCGCCAATGTAATCAATACGAGCATACATAGCTCGGCTGATAGTCGAGTCAGCACCAGACCAGGAGTGCAGCCATGACGGAAGAGCTGAACAAGTCAGCTCAAACTCGCATCTGACTCATCAGAAAAAGGAATCCAAATGAGAGGTGATATCTACGACAACATCCGGCGCAAGTGACCTCCACCGGCCCTCTCCACGCCGACGCACCACACGCGCCGGGACCTGAGCCATACGTCCCGCGCCCTGGCAGGCACCCCGGCGGCGAGCCGCGGGCTGCGCGGCGCCGGCCGGACCGCCCCCCAGCGAGACTGGAGGGGCCCGTCCCGCGCCCGGCCGGTCCACGGCGTCTGCGTTCTGCGCAGCACGCGCGACCTTGGCGTCACCGGTCATGGTCTGGCGCCGACTAACCCTCGCTGGCCTCCTGGCAGCGGCCGGCGCCGGTCGATGGTGGCGGGGCGGGTCTCGGGGTGGGACCGCTTGGAGCCGGGCCGGTGACCGCCACAGACGGCACGGCGATCACGGGCACGTGCGTCCTTCAACTGTGGAGAGGCGGGCGGAGCGGCTTCGACAGCACGTGACGCTGTCTAGTTTGGTGCTCTCGGGCGCGTCGGCTCAAGAACAATCAGGCTATACGTCGCTGTCCTCTCGAGAGCTGCCAGCTGTCTTCTCATCGTATAACGCACGGGACGGGCCTCGCTAGCAGATCGACGGAGCTGAACGCAACGGTCGCCCGCATCCGTTGCCCTGAGGTGTGCCGTCGGCCCCGTCAGGAAGGTGCTCAGGACCCTGATGCCGCCCGCGACAGGTGTCTTATCCATGAATGTGGTGCCACGAGAAAAAAAACACGGAACAAGAAGTCAACTGCGAAGTAGTAAACTGCGCACAAGTCAAACCGGAGAAATCTCATCACCGAGGTATTAAAAGCATAACGAGTTGTCAACAGTCAACGATAAGTCAAACGGTCGGCAGGTTAAAAGTAAAAAGGTGTCAAACGGATTAAGTTCAACAGAGCACTAAGTCATCAGAACTTACGGACACAGAGCGATAAATCAAACGGATGAAAATCGCATGATAAAACAAAACAGACTGATGGTCAGAAGGGATACAAGTGGATTGGATAACCGCAAAGCAAGCTGTAAACCAACACGCACCAGTCCGGCCAAATTCCGACTTCCGTAGGGCCTCTAAACACATGTGCAAGTCGTGAGAAGCAGTAAGGTTTAAACTTCGGCTGGGGTACAAGAAGGGGCCTAAAAATGGGGGCAAACATATTCTTGTCATCGCCCTCGGCGGGAGATGCTGGGGATCAAACAAGTCTCGTGGTTGCGAGGAGGGCGCGGAGATCAGGCCCGGAAGGACTGCACTCTGTCGGCAGAGGACTATTTTCACTTATTTCCCGCCTGAACCATCGACGCTTTGGAACCCTTGACTTACGTACCTTTGACGTTAGGCTTAACTAATTTTGTGTCTTTTGCTTATGTCCTTTTGACTCGTACTTCTCTTCCTTTTCCTTTTGTCCTATATTTGCCACCATTCTTCACAAGATTTGCATCGTTTTGGACTTTTTGTCCGTTTTACCTTCGCATTTGACGTGTATTATTTTTTCATCCCCTTAACTTTTTGTATTTCGACACATTACATTTTTGCGGGCACTAATTTGATTTGGATTCCTTATGACTTTTATCCCATAACTTACTGCATTCCACTTTTTTTCGTATGCGCAATGTGTCTTAATCATGTCTGGCCTTTTGGCATTCGGCTTCTGACCTTTCGTCCCGTTACCGGTGGCTACAAGCATCGCGGAATCTGGTCGGGCTCCAGACGGCCTCTGGTTCATCAATCCTGCTGACGGCCCGCCCGCCCTCTAGACGCCGACACGCCACTGCAGCGGCCCACGGCCCGGCAACATGGCAGACTTCCAGCCCGACACGGAAGGAGAGGGGGGGGGGGGGGCGATCTGGGCTGTGTGCGGTCAGCCCGGATCGCCCCCTGCTGACGTCACACCGCGAGCCCAGCCCAGCCGGGGTCAGACGGGCAGCGGCCGCGCCTCTCACTGCCGAGCCCCACACTGCCGAGCCCCTCACTGCCGAGCCTAACACTGCCGTGCCCTCCACTGCCGAGCCCCACACTACCGAGCCCCTCACTGCCGAGCCCCACACTACCGAGCCCTCCACTGCCGAACCCCACACTGCCGAGCCCCTCACTGTCGGGCCCCTCACTGCCGAGCCCCTCACTACCGAGCCCCTCAATGCCGAGCTCCTCACTGCCGAGCCCCTCACTGCCGAGCCCCACACTACCAAGCCCCTCACTGCCGAACCCCTCACTACCGAGCCCCACACTACCGAGCCCACACTACCGAGCCCCACACTGCCGAGGAGCCCACACGGCCGAGCCTCTCGCTGCCGAGCCCCACACTACCGAGCCCCACACTGCCGAGCCCCTCACTGCCGAGCCCCTCACTGCCGAGCCTCTCACTGCCGAGCCCCCCACTGCGGAGCCTCTCACTGCCCAGCCCCTCACTGCCGAGCCTCTCACTGCCGAGCCCCACTCTACCGAGCCCCTCATCGCCAAGCCCCCAACTGTCGAGCCCCTTACTGCCGAGCCCCTCCAGACAAGCCGGCCTTTGGGCAAGAGCTTTGCTTAATCGCGTCACGGCGCAATGCTTTCGGCCGTTAGCCAGTAAAACTGTGCAAGTACAAGATACAAACCGTGTCTGGGCTGGCAAGAAATCCCCATAACCAGAATGAAAGGGAGTGTTTCACATTTGCACTGGGTTTTCAACCGAAAACGTTTCTCTCTCAATAGTACTATAGTTATAAGTGAGATCGTTTTCAACTGAATTCGGTGCAGTTCACAGCGCTGCCCTTCTTAAAGCCTAAACCCATTCCGTTTCTGAGCTAATCACCCGCAAAGATGTGCAAGCAATTCGAGCAGACTATTTCCAGGTAACCCAGGCATCCATGACGTCATAATGACGTCATTCGAATTCTGAAATCCCATTGGTCGTGGGGCGATCAAGGCCAAGACAAATATAATTGTTGATCGTTCATCCCTGGAGTTTGTGAGCATGACATCCAGCTATAACAGCCGGCAACTGGCTCTCAATCATGTTTTGCGATCTCCGATGGTGCATTCAAACAGTGGCGTACTGAGCAGCATATTTACTAAATAGATAATTGTGTTATCCAGAGCAGTCTTTTCCACTTAGAAGTATACCAATAGTTATAAAAGAGCTTATTTCATCATACCTGAGGGTTGCTTAAATATCTTCAAATAAAGAGCATTCATTTAACCAAAATAGCGAGAGGCCACATGACATACCAGCTCATTTAGATAACTTGCCTTAAAGTGTGGCTCCAGCCACATGATACAAATGCAACATATGGATGACGCAATTTAGTGGCCCTTTTACACGGACCACGTAATCATCAGTTCCAGAACTACCCAAAACACCTTGAAAGAACAAGCATACGAATGTACAGCCTCGCACTGTTACTGCCCTTTCAAGCCACAAAGGTCATCGAACCTGCTGAAGACTGAGCGGCACAGACCACAGCCTCTTTATGAAACAAAACTTTGCTCATTGCAGGCGTCAGGCCAAGGTTCATCCGGATTACAGCAGTGCATTGGCCGCGCCCGTCCACTCGCGAAGGCGTGCGCAATGGAAAGATGCTGCACGGTGGGACCCAATGCCAATGAAAACGCAAAAGCTGCTTGCCTCGCTCCAATCGCAGCGCTTCAACATGTAACCCCGCTTCGAACAGCTGAGCCTTGCGTGTTGGGCAAAAATTGGGTGGTGGGAGCGTCGCGCGTCATGGCTTTCTCACTAACGGGATAACCATAGACTGTCTGTCATTACTGAAACATTCGTTAGCAAATAACAGCCTGAGCAAATGCACAAGCATCATTTGGACCAACAACGACGTGGTCTTTGAACACGGTGATCGGTTTCCCAACACCACCAGCACACGAACGGATGCCAGAAGCTCGCTGCAGCACTGAAAACGTCATACTTTCGGCGTTTAGTATACTGTTGGGAATGCGAGATCTATTAAGTGTTGCGGCTTTTACTTCCCCACGACTTTGAGTGGTGGGAAGGTAGCGGCTTGTGCATGGGGCTGTATCTTATTCTAAGCATACACGATTATGATTTTGTTCTGCGCGCGCGCGAATTCATAATGTCTTGGCTATTATCCCTAGCATCCCATCCTTGCCGAGCACACATAACACAATTACCTTAGCTTTACCTAGGTCCTGACCCCAAACTATCGCTCACACCTCCAGTCCGGCCGACCCGCCTGCCACACCGCCCACATGACACCAGCCAGACCGGCGGCTGCGGCACCACGGGCTTGGAGCGCCTCAATCACTCGTGAATCACAGAGGCCTGACAATCCTGCCGCGTAGCTCACTGGCGCCGCCCCGTCAACAGCAGCTCAGTGATGGAGCCGTGCCAAGCGCCAGCCGCCGTTCGGCCGTCGCGCGCCAGGCTTCGGACGCCGGTGACGGACTGCGGCGAAAGGTGAGGCCCCCAGGGCTGAACTACATAAGCATGTCAGCCTGAAACCGTATGCCGACCTTGAACCCAGACGGAAGGCAATGTGACGTGGCTCCACGGCTCCGAACACGGCGGCATTTTCGAGAACTTACGTCAGAAATATCCCAGAAGGGGAGATCACACCAGACCGCAGCAAGGCCACATTATCAATCAGATTCGGGGTTTCTCAAGGCGAATTACATTCAACAGACGTGCCCGCTGGCGTTAAATGCATTATTTTGGTACGATTTCTTTTGGTGGAGGCCACGGGACACAGCGTCAGGCACCGCCATGACCGCGAGTTATCCAACGCCTATAAAGCGGAATGAACGAGCCACTCCCTGCAGACCCGCTGCTCTATCACAAGTCGCCGGCAGCGTCCCGTCCGACCTACGTAGGCGTCGGGGCTGCAGCTGAAGGCTGTCTGCACTATAACGGCGTCCGATTAGCGGGAACGGCCGGCGGCGCAGATCGCGTCTCGCAGGCAGCCCCGGTCTGCCAGGCCGGCCTCCGCGCACGCCACGCGCCTCCGGGACCGACGCCCGGCGCCGGAACCGGCCGTAAACACGGCGGAGTTCTGAGGGGAGGGGAGCGTGACCGTCACCGAAGCCGCACAGCGCCCCGGACCAGGCGGCAGACAACGGCGAGCGGCAGGCTACCGCGGTGGAGCCGGACACGAGCGGGTTGCCGCTGCTCTGTTCGCAGGCCCCGCAAGTTGAAACAAGGATGGTCGGCCCCGTGACGTCACGGCAATCGCCTTGAAAACGGACGGCCACTCCTTCCAGACGTTATCTTGAGGGCCACGAACAAGCACTGGTGGTGTAACCTCTCACGTATTATTGCGTTTATAAGCTCCGACTCACTCATAACAATATTCATCTTGGATAAATATGGGGAGTGTGCCTGCATGATCTATGGACATCTCGGTATCGGAGATTGGTCCCTCAGTGGAGATATAGTTCATCTGGTATGGTGCACATTGGTTCATATGACATGGAGGAATATATGGATCATCAGTTCTCTAGACGAGCAATACTCTAAGATGGTACAGTGCTTGTGCAATGTAAGGCATGTAAGCATGTATGAAACCTGACCGAAAATTCATCAAAAATGCAACTTACTTAAAGAGTGTCACACAGTACTTTGTAGGGGTATGTGCAATGGGACATAGGGGCTTGTGCGATCAAGGCATGGTAAGTATGTATGAAACATGACCGAAAATTCATCAGACATACAACTTACTTAATGAGTGTCACGCAATGTTTTGTATGGGCATGCCCTGATGCTACTTCGGTCGCAACATTCCCCCCTTTAAACACAGGGCCAATGTGGAGACATGAAGGACATTAACAAACATACTATTGTCCGCGCAGTTTCGTAACGAATAAACAATCCCATGGCGCTTTCACCTCACTCACGCTCCCCGACTCGCGCAATCCGCCGGAAGAACGTTCGCCAGTTACGGCGAAGAAACCCATCACAGCTGACATCAGCACGCACGTATCGGAGCGCAGAGCACTCAGCGCAGCTGATAACGCTTCAGGACTTCCCTGTACACCGCCGCGTCTTTCTGAATCAGCCCTGCCGCCGTGCAGGTGATTCCGAGCCCCCGCTACGTGGCGGGGCGGATTAGGTTGCATCATGGCCCCACCTCCGCGGGTCAGGTTGCATCAGTGCCCCATCGACGGCACCGTAGCGGGCCGCCGTGCCGCGCCGACCCGCTACGTCGTGCACGAGAGGCGGTATCGGGCCGCGTCGCCCGGCCCGCCACGCCGTGCGCGACGGGCGGTACCAGGCCGCGTCACCCGGGCCCGCCGTGCCCTGCGCGAGGGGCGGTACCGGGCCGCGTCGTCCGTGACGGTGACGGCTAGTGAACTGTGGACCGCTAACGGGGCCACAGGGTACGCCGGCAGGCTGAGCAGTGGCACAGTAGGGCGTTGCGTCAGCAGGCGTCGGCGCGATGGAAGCGCGCGGCGAGTGAGACCGGCGGCGCTGCGCGCGCCCTGCGGTGGCAAACGCACGTGGCGCTTCCCAGACAGCCCAGCTGCCCTACGCATTCATCTAGATAGCCATACGCCCGAGGGTGAGGAGAGGGGGAGGGGTTCAGAGGTCGCTGTGCTTCAACTGGAGAGGGGGTTGAGTCTGGGAAACTCGAGTCCCTCTGGGGTCGCGGTGTTAAATAACGGTATCATGGCACGCTCGCAGTACGTTTAAACTCCGGTTGGCTTCGGTTGCAAACAAGATTATTTCGCTCCATTTCAACACTTCAAAACATATCCCGGGGCCCAAATAGCGTTCTGGTGCACCGAGCGGCCGACAGACGCGGAAAACTAACTTTATTCGCAGCCACGCAGAGATGGTCACCTCTTTCAAGAGCCAGCCGCAGGGGTGGCCCCTTCTCCACGAGACAAGCGCAGAAACTACCACTATTCGCAGATACCAGCAGCAAGGATATCTCCCTTCCCCTTCTCGGGGGGGGGGGGGGGGGGGGCACGTATGCTTTAGCCGGCGGCGAAAGCCGGCGCAACGCGCGCCGGGCGTGCGGGACCGCCGCCTCACCTTTTCCAGGAGCCGCGCCGTCCGTCGTCGGTGCGCCCGCTGCCCAGCCAGAAGGCCATGGAGCACACCTCCAGCCCGGTAGAGATGACCAGTCGGTGACCGCGCAGCTGCCGGCCGGCCGCGTCCCGGTCATTGTCCTGCGCCCTGCAGCACAGCCGCGCCGTCAGGGACCACCCCGCCAGCGCGTGTCCTCGCCGGTGGCGGCCCGGAACGCCGGTCGCGTTGGCTGGCGGTCATTGGCAGAGGCACGGGGCTCGGTGGCACAGAGCGCCAGACACGTCGCGCTCAGACCGGACACGCCGCAGCGCAGCCCCCACTGCAGCGGCGCGGTCACATTATGCAAACACGGCGTAACGCAACGATGCCCAGCGTGTGCAAACCCGTGCCTGCTTCGTGTATGAAGCATTTCCATACGTATGCATCATTCGAAGGGATTCGTATACTTCCTTTCTAAAGTTAAATCCTGCATGGAAGCGTGCTGTTTAAGGATCATGCCCGATGGTCATAAAACATTCAAACCAGATTTTTCCGACACCGGGTTTTTCTAACACTTGCTTGTCAAGATCATAAGAAGTTAGGGAAACCTCCATTTCATCCTCTGTGTGCTCCTCTCTGACTGGTCTCTCGCACCTCTTGATACCAGGTCGTCCGGTCGAGCTGGGTACACCTGCTATTCCGGTTTTTATTCCGCCCTCCCCTGACCAGCTCTCGTCCCAGACCAGCCCCGCCGATACCCCACCATCGCCGGCGAGCCTTGGCGGTCCGTCTCCCCGCCGCCCTGCGCCGCCGCCCCGCTGGCGGGCTGGTGACGTCACACACACACCCCTCCCCTCGCGGCCCGGGGCGCCGCCGCCATTGCATCAGTGCGCCAGCACCGACCGCCTCCGAGTACCGCTGGCCGACCGCGCCCGGCCAGCCCGTCTGCTCGGCCGGAGGTAGGGAGGCCGCGGGGACGGCGCCACATCATCCGCGAGCGGCCTAACATTTTCCATGAGCTCTCCGTCGGATGAGGGGCCTCAAAGGGCAACTCTCCTTGTACGTGACGACCCATCACGCTCAACATGCCAAGATTATATACTTCTGCGTCGCAAGTCAACGTGTATCCCTTTTGGGGGTGTGGGGCGGCGCTGTACTGTCTAAGCGCATGTCTTCACCAATTTCAATACATACGTAGCTGGTACACCCCACTGTCGTGCTTACTGGTCTATGACCCTCTTTAACTGGAAACGCACTTAGTTAGTTGCATCAAAGTATGAACCTAGCGCGCTATGGAAATAAACCGTCGCTGGGCGCCATGGCCGCACTATTGGCCATATCTATGCTGGCCATATCTATCATACTTTATATGACACGTTTTCGAGAGGTTTTCGAGAAGCCTGCCAAAATTCTGAGGTGGTCAAAAGGACGTGTTCGCCTACGCAGTCCGAAGGCATGACGGACAGCTTCCCGGTGGTGCCGTCCTGAGAGGCCGCTGCAGAAGGGACAGCAGCACCCGCACGGGTATCAGCTGGCGGACCGGGTACACACCCCCAAACCGGGTACACACCCCCTGACTACCTGCGGCGGCATCCCCGATCGGCAGTGGGATATTGAGATCAATACGCCAACGATATCATGTCGCTGCCCCAGCAAAAACACGTCTGGTGGTCGGCGCCTACCAAGCGCATTGAGCGACTTCAGGCAGATCGGTTTATGACATCGGCGGTGAAGATATTTCCCGTCATCTTCACGCGTGCGAGGTACACATTCTGTGTACAGACTGCAGCCAGGCTATAAACGAGCAGGCCGATCCTGTCACACCCATATTTAGAGTATGTTCTCCACCCTGGTCTACACACGTGTTCTGGTGAAGTTATGTATACCATATCAAACCTTGCACTGCAGCGTTTGTCTGACGCAAAACAGGGCGTAGGGCGAGCCTCAGGTTCTGTAAGACAAACATTCCATTTTTTACGTACCGCCAGCAACACGACTGTGACTATGTGGGGGGGCGGTGGGGGGGGGGGGGTGGGGGGTGAGGGGGGGTGCTGAAGCCCACCAAATTGAAAGAAAACTACACTGATGGGTGATATGCTCTAGGATATATTATTTTAAACGTGGCATGACAGGCATGGCGACGATTTCAGCTATGAAGTTTCATACATTTTTGACGATGATCCAGCTTTTTTACTACATTTTTTAGCATAATGGATCAGCTCCGGTTATTTTCAGTTTTACTTAAACGCGCAGTGCGTTTAATCAAGGCAATATTGCAACTGTCGAACTTAATGGCCTTATGGTTACCTTAGAGGTAAACGATTATCCCGCGTAAGCCTAAGCACATGATATGAACACTGACAGGAAAGAAACCGGGGAAGCGGTTGGCAAACACCCAGAAATAAATTCGAATTTCCGAGTCATGACGCAACCATTTTCCCATCCTTTACACGCCCACGCAGGGGCACCGGCAGCCCCTCCCTTCCCCCAACCCAGCTTGTGGGCCCGTAGCCATTCCAGTTGTTTTTTCTAGTCGACACCCATAGGGATAATGACATTTTACAAAAGCTGAGGGGTTCAGCCCGTGTCCATCCATCCCCCACCCCGTTTCCACGCCTCTACTTGCGCGGCGTAAAGACATGGCGGAGAGACCCTCAGCAATCCACTGAGTGAGGTGCAGAGTCACCCAGAGGTGCGAATAGTGACGGGAGGCACCTGGCGGCGCATAAAAGACAAATCGTGGGCACGGCAAGACCCACGTCCTGAAG